TCTGCGTGCGATGGCGATGGTGACGTGTACGAGGATTCTGATATTCATTGCGCGCATAACTTTGGTATGATACTGTGCAATACTGAGACCCGTTCACTTGACCCGTTTCATCGTTGCTTACTTCGACTGTACCCTTCGTCAGAAACTGGACGATATCGTTTTTGCCTGAGCAGTGATCGGAATAGAATCTACGCGCTGATCGAACAAATTACATTCGCATCGTCAAACAGACATAATTCATCCCGAACGTCTGCAACATAGAAGATACTATGGGATTTCTTGGATCTATCAATTATGCAACAAAGCTATCGTGTGACTAACCTGTAAGAAGCGAACCGCTGGGTCTATAATTGGTTCGCCCTTCGGCGGCACGTCTACTACGAACGCTGTTTCAGACTAATGGTTTGTCATTTATTCGCGCTCACGGTCATGACATGCTACAACAGTAAATAGCTCACTGAATACCGAAAAAAGCTCGAAGGCCACACCTAACTCGAAATTTTCGGATGAACGCTTGTCCGCCTCGCGCGAGTTCATGCCTCATCAGGCTTTCATTATTATATTTTTCGATCTTAAGCCGACTCCACCTTTTAACATCATTTTGAGTTTCCACATACTTCTCGTCGCTTATGCGTTTCCTTTGCGATTAATTATGGACGCGTCCCACAGGGACAAACAGTTTGCGCTGTATATCCATTTTGCTCATTCTGAAAAGAGATATTCTGAAAGACCTAATCTCCTCTTAAGGTACTGCCACACGAACCTGCGCCTTATGTAAGACCGGTTTTTGACGCATACTTTTACAGAACGCCGAACGGCTGGACAAAGTTAGCATTTTTGCTACCATGAAGAGCTTAGCGTGACGTACGCTTGTAAGATACTACGTACCTGTTTGTAGCATTTACGACCGACACCTAGCGAAGTTCTGCACCATAATGCATGGAGCATATAGAACATAAGGCACCCGTTCACTTATCTAACTTCATGACATTGTATTAGCACTGGAGCCTGATGTAAGCTGATAAATCGCCACTACGTCATAGGAAGACCTGTCGTGTACTAAAGGTGTATAAGCTGCCTATCTACGTGATAGACAATGGTCGTCGATGCAGAGTTGCTATTGTAGACCTATCACATTGCAATCGGAGGTAAGCAAGTAAATTTAATAAAATTATCATAAAAATCGTACCTTTCTAGGTCACGGCTAGAAGAGTTTTACAGACGTGCACAGAATTTTTTTTACGTAAGGATCATGCTGGATGTTTACCATCATGCAGCCAAGCACTAATCTAAGCGTACTGAAAATAGTAATTGATGGCTAAGTGTAATGGAAATATTGCGTTGAGTCACTGTTCCTATTACAAAATACGGTATAACAAAATCCCTTACCCAGTCAGGAGGTCATTGTCCCCCTGCCATCACCTGCAAACTGGTGCACTAAATCTCTACGCGGTATAGTATCGCTAAGGTTGGTATATCGTATTGCATATATCGTATTGTCGTGTGTATACGTGTACCTGTGTCTAAGGTCGTTTGAGTCGCTGCGCAAGATTTATGTAACCTAAATTTTTCGCCCCGGTATAATTAATCAAGAGACAAACACATCTACCATCTCATATGTAAACCTAAGCGGATGGCTTGACAGCGCTCATTTTGTACCGCTAAGTCGAGTTTATGTTCGCCGACTAGTTCTTGGGTCTTCATTTTATTATTTCTCCGCGACAGCCGACATCATGGTTAAATACCAGACACCGACAAAGGCTCTGGGATAGGTTTCGGTGAATCAACTAAATAGGTGCTCTCACACGCTCAGGAAGGATTTCTCTTGATACCTTCTCAAGATTCGTGACGTTGCCACCGTACCGGCAAAAATGGCGGCGTTTGGGTTCCGTCCGTGCTGTAGATCATCACCTGAAGAGCAATCGACGCACCTTCACAAGCCAACTCACGAAGGTGGCTTGGCGCAGCAGGTAGTCTCTGCATTATTAGACAATACAACACTGGTCAGTGGCGGCGGCGGCAGCAGCGGCATAGATAATTGAAATAAATCGCGTATATATATATATATATATATACACACACACACCTTTGCTCTTGTTCTTCAAGACAAAATATTGATTTGTTCAGCGGCGTTTGGGGCACGTGTGAAGGTAAATCGATGAGAAAAGTTCGCTTTCAATTGCCAGCTTAATGAATTACATAATAATTTCTGTTTATTCGTATATATGTGCGGTCATTGTAGCATGCCAACATTACATGCATTTAGGAAGATTAATGCTGAAGCATAAGATGTGAGCAGCGTATTTAATAGAGCGTTTCGAGGAAGGGGCTAACGACGGCCGTACACATACTCTACTGGCGTGTAGCCATAGCACAGTTATTTTCTATTCGATTTTTTGTGTGCTACTGAAAATATTTAAAATGAGGCTAGAAAAGTGAAAATGAAAACCCTTAATCGATAGTGAATCGAGTCGGCTGCTTTCGACGACAACGACTAGTGAAGGCTCCTATGTAATGTGTGAAAAGTTTGAAGCAGTTCCGCCGCTTTCCGTTTCCGTTGTCGACCGCTTACTGTTGTTCTCGTTGTTACGCTAATGCTAGATGCCGCCGTTGGGTGACAGAAAGGGGCAACTCGTTAATGCGCATCGAATATTCGAAAGGGAAAGAGTCAGAGGCCAAGCTGTTGCATAAGGCGACGACAACGGCTTCCTGCACACCGATATATAGCAAAGGAAATATAGAGAGTATCGGCAATCGAACGCGTGACGTTTTTCGTTACAGAAGACATACATGGAAATGTTTTAACTCTTGATAACGTCGACTCGAGATCTTTTCTTTAGAAAAAACTTAGGACGCCACTACCGAGTATAGGGACCAAGGAAAACTTACCTCTAAGTCAATATTCTTCAGCTAAGTATTCTAACTCCGAATAGATAGTTGAAAAAAATAAAAAAAACTGGGTTTCTTTTGTCGTATTAGCATGCATATACATATCAAATACATATTATACACACCAACGTAATTGTGTCAATTGGTATACGCATTAAAGAATAGCGAAACACTTTGAAAATTTAATAATATGCGGCTAGACACTGGTCTCAAATTCACAGCGGTCCTATTACTAAATGCGTTACTGTTTATAAAACAAAAAAGAACACTTAATCTCTATAGAGTATATGCGCACCCGGCCACGCAGAGGGAGAGTTGAGGCCTATCATTATACGTATGTATTTGTATTTCATTATAAGCCAGGCAGCAGAAAAATGCGCCACTTGTTTTGACGGGCAGTTGGTTCACTCTAGGCTATAGATATGCCTAGCTCAATGGCGTGTTCGCTACATTTTTCCTTTGGCTAACTCTCGTGACGCCTAAATTGCTTTGTTATGTTAATTAGCTTTTTCCTCTACAATGAACTGGGTCTTGTGAACGCTTCCCGGGGGCAATGTCCGAATACGATAGTGCCATATCCACAGACAACGACAGAGAAAGAAGTGCCAGTTTTAGGCACAGCTTTTTTACAAATGTATGTGATATGGCAAGCGATTAGTTGTAGACAAGATGTTACCTGCGAAATGGCTTCGAGGCAGGCGTTTGGGATGCCTCCTCGATGGCTCCTCTTATCTTTTTTTTGTCATTTATGGCAACAGACCGAAGTGCAATGTCGCCATGGCAAACGAGAGACGATCCCTATCGTTCCCTCATAGACTTGTTCGCAATCATTTACCACTTTACTGACTTTCGGGTCACTCGCTGCTCCAAAACCAGTGTTGTTAGTGTTTGCCCTTTGCAGTATGACAAAGTATACTTTTAAAATCACGTTGTTACCGTCACCTGCCGCCGCCGCCGCCGCTGCTCGTTCATTTACTGCTACTTCTGACAGTGGTATTGGTTGTAGCGACTACTTAGAGAGATGTCTTTCAAATTCGTATGTGTTTTTTGTATTTCGTCTCAGGAATACGTAGGCACAGCCTGTTTTTCTTCTAGAATTTCCTAACCCTGTACACTGCAGCTACCTTATCTCCTCCACTCCTGCAGTCGTCTCACATTCGTATTTGCCAACATCACATCTTTTACAACCGTCTATCTTCTAATAACGTCTATCCGTACCATTTTTTTCATACATACATACATACATACATACATACATACACATATGTATTTATTTTTTTATCATTTCAATGTGTTCTGACGGATGCAAGCTTGCTCGGGCTTAACAGTCCGTATGGGTTGTTTGTGCAGCATTTACTTTATAAAAGTACCTGCGCTGTAGTAAAGACCGACAAAATTCTGATGAGGCGAGTAACAAAAAGTTACTCAGAAAATAGATCATCGTTCTTTTCGCTAGCTTTCTCCCCCCAGCTGTATCTACAGAAGATGAAATGAGGAAGAATCAGTAGGAATATTGCCCCTTCAAACAATTTTGAGCCCAACTCTGATTCAGGTTTCAAGCTAGCGACTTGTCCGCAAAGATGATACTAGCAGTATCTGTGGAGGTGGATAGATCATAGTACATTATCCGAGGTAGCGTAATTTTGCGTTACTGTTTTTGCTTGTATTATTATACTTTGGTGCTCAAATTGGTGACGGTGACCTGTTTATAGTTTATGAGACTCTGGCCAGTTTAGATAAGGTCACGTTGACAGAAACGACTACAATGCAATATAATTAGCAGCCACCGAAGATTCATGAGTTGATTAAAAATAACATCCAGAATTGTCTGTTTCATACCAGTTTATACATTCACACACACACACACACGTTCGACTTGCGACATTTATTTGGGCATACCTGCGCAAGCTCGAGGGCAGTATTTGGCAAGCAGTAAAAAGGTACTTGGTAAAAAAGGTAGCCCACTTGTAGCGACCACGGATGTGTATTTTCTAATCACAGTGCTCTTTGTCGTATTTAAGAATAGACGTGGACGCGTGTAGCGTTAGCTGACCAATCTTTTTTTTGTTCTGCTGCTTACCATTCGCTCTGCGTTGTTATTTCGATTGCAGTTTGTCCTTCTGGCGGCGAAAGCTTCGAACTCGTCACTGGATACGTTTATACAGCTCCGACAGAAACGATCGAATTGAAAGCGGGCGTTCTCCAATTGCAGCAATGTCTACAGATGTGTCGGGACCACAATGCCTGTCGCAGCGTCAACTTTGAGACCGGCCTGTGTGTACTGTTCTCTTCGTCTGCATCGGAACGGCCGGAATCCCTTTCACCGTCGCAGTTTCCTGTCTTTACTATCTATGCGGAAAAAGTTTGCATACAAGGTTTGTTAACGTCACACAATTTGAATTAGTCATATGAAAAAACGTTATTTGCGCTCGAGCGTCAAGGTATCATTTAAATTTGGCCTATGCTCCGAATGGTCGTAGGCATGCTATTCGTTTAACGGTGACCGTTGTTGTATCATCGATTTTTCTCATCGATTTTCAAGTTCTGTTCCGTTTGCACATATCTAGAAAGCACTTATAAAACCGATACCGAAAAATTCTTGGTTATATTTAGCTTGTTTTAGGGGTGCATATTTCCTATTCTACCTAGTATTATGTTCGGAGCTTTTCTGCAAGCCGTATTAAAGATTTTGGGACACGAGCATGACTGCAATCAGCTCCCAACCTGTATGTACCCTATCTATACGCCACAGAAAATGTTTACTATGTGTTTAGTTTATAGCAACAACCAGTACAATAAAGAAGCACCTTGTTTACCCATTGTGCTAGCAGTCGTAGCTACGATTGATTAGGCAGACGCTTACCACTGTCGTCGCTTCGCCGCCCTTGCGTATGTAACCGGAGACGGCAACATTACGTATATAATAATAGATAGATAGCCGATTCTGACTTTTCTGTCCTGTAGCATCTTTTGTAACGTAATTTCGAGGTATTATTCGTTGTTACATGCTGCCAGTCGAAACGCACCGTTGCGTAGCGAAATCAGAGGAATAATCAATTTAAGTTCGACTGTAGCTAGGGAAATAACCCCAATGATCAACCGCGACTATGCAGGTGTTATGTTATTGCAGACGAAAATTCTACTTGCGATAACCAGAAGCAGCTTGGACAATCAATCGGTTTTATATTTGACAGGACCCCATTTCCTTCAGTGATCGCGCTCTGCAATCGCGAAACGTTCGGAAAGAAGAAGACAGATTGTGGGGGAGGAATGGGTAGAGCTCTAAAAGTGATTCATCAGTACGGGGCCCTTAAGAAGGTCCTGATCGTTCGAAGGAACAGGCAATGCAAATTGAAAAGCACTCTAGCAAAGAATAACAACAGATTGATGTACAAAGCTATGACTAATATCCCAAGACACTTAGACTCATTATGGTTGAACAGTTATTCGCTACAAACCGTGTCAATAACACCAGCGTCATCTTAAATAATGATTACACAGATTGTGTCTCAGGTAAAAACGAACCTGATACCTAGGTTCGAACGGAAAAAAGGTCCTAGCTGTCATCAAACTACAGTATCTCCTACTTGAAACTGCATTCTCTCGTTAACTTAGACAAGCGATTCAAAGCTTTTCCAATTCTGGAAATTTGGCTCTTTTATAGACGCCCACATTTTCGCATCTCCTAAGACTAAACACTATGTTACTTAATGTTTGCTACTGTTATCCGCGAATATTTGTAAGCTGTTGTCTTTGAATACCTAGCTGGGATAGTGTTGTGCATTGCTGACGTTCCTCACTGTTGTCGCACCCCGTTAACATTATAAACTTTGTTACTACTGACGGACGTGCTTGGTGCTTGCCGTATTTCCGACACTCATTCTGTAGTGCCCCCTGCGCTTCCCGTTGGCTATGGCGCGAGGTTTTCTTATGGGTCACTTCACAGTTTGGCATTACGGCTCCTAGCTACTGTTAATGCCGTTTTTATTACTCAACAATAGTCACCACGACTACAATTGCAACTTCTTTGTCTTATCCGACAACTGTTAGATTGATGCTCTATCTTAGTCTGCATAAGTAGCACGTATCGGTTTTGTGCGTCCGCCAGATTTGGCTTGGTCGTCTGCCACTCTCCGTATCGTCATGTGCGTAAATACACTCTAGTAGGGTGAAGTAGTGCGTTTCCATCCCATTGTCTGCTTCACGCTTGCTCGCTGTCATCGTCTAATAGTTGAAATTAGCGATATTTGTTCACTCCGAGTAAGGCCAAAACGGACAGGTAAGATTCGCACACGAGCGTGTCTGCTATGTTCATGTATACATACATCAGACATACGACGATAATGTAATGACCTGCAGACATCTGTCAGGTTGCCCGTTGTCTGAAGAATTCCACTGTTGCTGCTGGAACACGCAATAGAAATACGTGAATATATTTGAACATGATATAGTAAAGGTCGGTGAAGGGAATGTCGAGGACTACGACCCAGGCGATGAGAACAACTCTTTCATGTGTGGCCCGGACCAAGTGAGACCTGGGTTGTACGAACTGTGTGATGAAGCACCTAGCGAACGCAGAGACTCGCAGAGGCGTAATGATTTACTTTCGCATGGATGTTGCATAACGCTTTTCGTATAGAGAATCTTGGTATATTTCGGCCATATAACTAAATCAGTGATGGACTATAAATGCTTCTTTTTGCCTATATATATATATATATATATATAATCTGGAGTTGAAGCTTTTTTAGATTGCATTTTCGAGAGGAATGGTTCAGGCTTAATAAAAGTCCTCATTTGGCGATTTATAATCTCGTCATTTCTGCCTCCAACTGAGAGTTTATGGAGCAGTCATTGATTGCTACTATGGTGATTATATATAACCGGCAGTAAAGTACGTTATATACAGAATTTAGTATAAATTTCATTGCAAGACTTCCCGGTTGCGCGAATAGAAAAGTTCTAGAACTTGATAGTTATCTACAAGTGTAAAAACAACTCGCCAAGTAAGCTCAATATTCATAGGGTGACTCGAACATCGTTTACATTTCTAATAGGTATCATTAATTTTCATTATTTTTACAACCTCATCCATTCCATAATTTTTAAAAATTGAAACATTTTCATGAGGTATACTTATTATTAGCCGGCCTGCGAAAACAGGCCAAAGTCACCGTATATTCCTTTTTCCACCCACGCCATGTATTGGTTTACCAAAGCGATTTGGGAGATTCGGCGGAGGCCATCTGTAGCCACGACATGGCCGCATCATCCTTAAAAGTAATTACAGGTATATGAAGTGTCGTATACTTAGAAAAAACCTCAGAAGATGGGACGACCGCTCGTTTGTGACGACATTGTTGTTGTTCTCGGCGATTCAACCGCCATCGATTGTCCCTATACTCATCATATAGGCATAATCGGTGGAAACAATCTCATTCCACTGTAACGTTATATTCCCCTATATTATGCCTTCCTAGCAAGATTGGTTAGAAGAATTTGGTAGTGGAGTGGAATCGCAACTATCTTTGCTTATAGATCTGATATAATTTGAGTAGCATTCCTTTTTCTTTAGCCTTGCGCCTGACTCAAAACGATCAGAGTGTAGCGCTCGGACGTACGGTATCGGCAGCGACACGTCTTCCCTCAGGCTTTCGTCAGTATGTACACAGACTAAATCAGTTACAACCAACGGTCTACTTGTGTTGTTACTGTACCAGTTGGCATAACTTTCCTTCTATTAAGATACCGTTCAGGTAGTTACTTTTCCGTCGCACCTGCGGCCTTTAATTCTAAATAAATATACTCAAGGACGTGATCATTTTTAATGAACTTTGAAGCATACATAAGTATAATTGGTCTGTACTTGATGGCTACAGAAAAATTTGAGTGGACTGGCTAGTTTCCATTTTCCGTAAAGAATTTTCGACCTCTTCCTTTGCTTCTTTTAACAAAAACACCTAATATTGATACTGGCTGCCTCAAGTCAGCCAGCGACGCTAAACGTGCTAACGACCGTTTAAATTCATGGTCATCAATTTCGATAATTACTAAGGCTTTGACAACTAGTTTCATTGATAATAATTATCGTTCCCGATTTAATCAGGTTTCTCATTCGTCGTGTCCCCATATTAGCGTGACCCCAGGAAAAATCCAGAAATGAAGCTATCATTTGAGGTAGCCACTCGCTAGAATCAAGCTAATAAACAACAAGTTCTCATATCGTCTACATGCACCCACCAGACGCCACCTATGTGTCACCACGCATCGACCCTATGCAGCGTGACTGTTGTCTATTCAAAACGGTGCTTGATCGCTGGTGCTGCATGAAGATAATTGGTTGTCCATTCGCTTTACGATTATAGGACACTTTGACCATTCTTCCCTGGGCGAACCTGAGCAAAGCTGACTGTTTTGTGGGCATTTTTCTTCGAGAAGCGATTTAGCACAGAGGCCTTTGCTGGCTGTAACGTTTAGCGATAGTCATAGTAGAAATAGCTATTTTCACTTAGATTTCTGATATTATCGTATTTCATGTCTGGGTCGCCCCCAGAAGATGAGTGTCGTCTCCTGGTCATCTTGGCAATAATACAAAGTGTTGCTACATTTAGTAGTTAAGTTGTAGTTCTATTTTGCTGTAGCTATTATAGTTATCTAGCGGTACGGTTTCGAAATTTTGTCTGTCAGACCATATTTTTACTTAGTTGGTGGCGAGTGGTAACTACCTTTCTGTTGGGCTGACTGTGTGGCACAATTTTTTCTTGCCTTTTGTTCTGTGCTGCAGTGAGTGTCAAGACAAACCTAGCTATTCCAGGTAGGCGGTAAAGAGAGTCTGTCGCACCGATAGGACGCGCTAGACAAACCATTGCAGCCAGTAATAGTACCCTGTCACAGCTAACGTCTGTTCTATGGCTGAGTCTAGTAAAGTGCCTCCTGCAAAGACGAAAAGGGAATCAGGACGAGTAGCGTAGGACAGACAATCACTTACACGACAAGAGGCCTAGCCGCAATCGCAACCAGCAGTAGCCACCATGGTTCAAAAACTGCCACTACTGTCAGTAGTAGTAGTAGTAGTAGTAGTAGTACCATCAGCACTACGCCTGCTACTAGTACTGCTTATCACAGTAAAAATAGCAACGGCGACATCAAGCGCCGCCGCCGCTGAAGTTAGCTTAAAATAAACTTCCGACAGGATAGCCCTACTTTCTCACTGCGCTTTCTTTAGCTGAACCTGCGATCGTAGCCAAAGACATCGTAACTGCTTAAATTATAATCTGCTTGTTTCATTTTGGCTCCTTGCTGAGCTGCAGTTAATTCCGACGCCGTTCTTCCATAGTAGAGTTGCTCAGTGGCAGTCCGCCTTCTCCAGCGGAGA